GACCTTCTGCTAGCATCTTACTTTGAAAAGGGTCCGGATCACATGGCTCTGTTAAAGGCTCCGTACCCGATATTTTGTCGGTATATCACAGCATGTGGTGAAGTTTCCGAGGATTTGTGTATGTCATTTGGTGTCCATCGAACATGTCCACCCCCTACATTTCTGTTCACTTTTACCATCAGAGTATTTTCTGTGGTCTCTTCCCCCTTGTTTGGGCTAGGGAATCTTCCCCACCACGGGAGGATCTCTAGTAGATCTTGAGCATGCAGATAACGTAGTCCTGTTACATGGAGACCTTAATAAAATGCCGAGTCCACTGGACATCTCGAGTGGCAGTTTGATAGTGTTAGAGATGCGTTTTTTGCCACCCGCTTATAGTGGTTGCCTGTCCAAAAACGTCTGATGAAATGGTCAAGTGCGTTGGCCACTTCAAGTGCCCGGAAAGTCAAAGTAGTTCGAACGGACAAGCGGGCAACTAAGTAATCCTCACATAGGACCTTCTTAGTTTATCCCAACAAGCACCGCCCCGATAACTGGCTGACTGGCAAGTGCCTGTGTACTGCTCTGTAGTCGGCACTTCGGCACTATATAGTGGCGAGACATGGCCAATAAAGGTAGGGATATCATGAGGCGTCGGTTTGTCGACCACCAATTTTTTGCAGCATGGTCTGCTTGTCTTGGTGTCACCACGTCGGTGACGTAGAAGTTAGGCGTAGAGTTTTACTCAGACGGGGAAGGTCAGTTGGTGAGGTTGTAAGCCTCAACCGCCCACCTTGACGTGCAGTGGTACCAGGAGTTGAATCAGGTCGTAAGAGGGCTCAGGGTGTCGTGGCCAAAGGGTGGCATCAGTCCATGAAGCCTGACTGTGGATTTGAGGTGTGTGAAGAGACTACGCAGTTAGAGTCCTGAAGAAGGGAGCAGTCGATGCTTTAGGATGCTTGACGGCATAACGGAAAATCGGTCACACTGGAAAATGTATTTACTCTTCGACGTCTTCCGAAGCTTGGGTGTTTTGACCAACCTTAATTTTTAAATTCATTATGCTCTGGCATACCCTTTTCCACTTTAATATCAGTATCTTTCCGGCTGATCGTTCCCCACATGCTACTGTGAAGCGTAGCAACTTGGAAAATTGCCTGACCGGGATCCCCGAGACTAAAGGAGGTAGTGGTTAGGGACTTTTGGTGACATGGCGAAACTCAGGGACAGTGGCTCAGGTTTATTCACTGTCTTATCCTTTCTGAAGCACAGATATTTGCAATAACCTTTATCTCCAAGGCTATTTGTCGTCTAACATAACTTTGTCCGCTTCGGTATCACCCCTTTCCTATCCAGCATCTTTGCATACCACTGCGAAGTGCAACAGCTTGGACCGTAGTACACATACACGGCGTTCCACCTTGATTTTGCCTGTTTGTCATAAGGAATGCACGTCCTGATTATCCATCGTATGCGTCACTATTTCCTTTTATGTAAGTTGAACAAAGAGGTACATTGAAGTACATCCAGTCTTCGACCCTATTGCTGTTAAACATTTGTTTTCCCAAGAAGTTTATATAATGGTGACATCCCTACTGAAAACGCCAGATCCGAAGCTTTGACATGGATAACCCGGTCGTGCACAAAAGAGGACGATGACATCCGAAACAACACTCCAGTCTATATCCACAGGAAAACAGAGGTAGGGCAGAAAACTGGACCTCTAAAGAGGCGGCCAACTTGTGTTCCTAGAATTCCGGTCACTATCAAACGGGTGAAGCAGAGTAGCACTAGCACGTCAGGAACTAGTTTTACCTCGAATGAGGATCAGATCATGCCTGAAAAGGGGAAACGGCGTGATTCCAGAACCGCCAAGTGACCTCCCGGCCAAACATCGGTGCCTCCGCGACGTCAAACAGTGGCATTGGCCCTCAGCCAAGGTCGGTCTGGACAGTATGCCGGCCAGCAGCGGTAGACTGCCGAGGCCAGCGCATACGAAGCCCATCCCTACCCCAAGGCTACTCGTAATCCAAAGTGACTCACATGCCTCCCTCGTAGACTTTCTACAATCGTGGTATAATGCGAAAGATCGTGCAGGTGGCTCAGTACGCATTTGTGCAAGTAAGCCTAGACTCACCAGGCAAGAGGAAAGACGGCAACTGCCAAGACCTCTGGAGTCAGTGGTTGTTGCACTAGCGCTGACAGCTGATTCAGATGCATCGTGGACTGGCAACACTGGATCCTCTCTCGCGAAACTACACAACCGGCCCTCCCCTCTCACTAGGCATGCTCTAACATGTATATACAGCAGAGAGGAGGGGTTAAGGGGGCAAGTAGCAGAGATGAGGGCGCTGCGTGAACGTCAGCCCTCTGACATGATACTCACCACCGGACCCTAACACTTACCGGACACCTCCGATTATAAGATGTATGTCACTGGCATGGAACTCTTCTGCAGGGACGGAGAGCTCAGAGCAGGAGGGGGAGTGGCTCTCTACGCAAACTCCCGTTTAAAGGCAAGGGTGGTTAGCTATGCCGCCTTGACCCAGCTCCCAGAACCTCTATAGCGCTACTTCACTATCCGCCGTACCAAACACCTGCTCGGAGTCATATATCGGTCCCCCACCAGCTCCCCTACACATAGGAAAATAGTCATCAAGGCAATCTTGACGGCTTCCTCCGCAGATTACAATTCCGTAATCACTGCTAGCAACCTCAACAACTCCTCCATCCTCTTTGAGGCGGAAGGGAGACGCATCAGATCCTTCAATCAGAGGCTGAAGGATGCAATTAAGACTGCTGGTCTCTCAGAGAAAGTGGGTGATACCACACGCTGGGGACCTAACGGAAACGCATCGTACCTTGACTACTTTCTGACGAACGATGAACTTCTCATTGAGGAGGTTTGCATCCAATCTCCCCTTAGCCTCAGTGACCACGCTTTAATCACCTTCACCCTGATTACTAGGGAGGCTCTGCAATTGGAGACGCCCAACACCTTCCTTTGCTACGGCAAGGCCAACTATGAGACCATGAGGGACCATCTCATGAATGCATCATGGCCGGTAGACTGGAATCACCTCATAATAGATGAAAACTGGTTGGAGTTGAACAAAATAATCACTGGGGCCATCAGTCACAGTGTTCCAGAAGTAACACACAGGCAGTCAGTGAGAACCTGATGGTTAAGGCATGGGACAGAGAGTCTCATCCAGAGCAAGAAGCAGACTCGGTTAAAGTGGCATGCATCACGCAGGGAGTCTGACTTCTTGAACCACAAAAGGATTCGCAACCACCGTAACATAACAGTGCGTAGCGACAGATTTTCCTATCAAACAAACTTGGCGGCGAGGTTACAAAGCAATCCCAAAAACTTGTACCGCTTCACGTAGAGGAGAAAGTCAACCAGTAAGGGAGTGAATCTTGTCACAGGCTATGACGGCAGTTTACTAGGCAGTCTGAAGATTGCCGAGCCTTTGAGCTCACACTTCCAAGCCCAACTTAGCACTGACACAAGATCCACACCGGCTCGCTACGACGCCGACCAGGTCGTAAATAACGAACACCTCTGTCACGTCTCTGTCACAGAGAAAAAGTGTTAGAGAAACTATCTGAGCTACGTCCAGGCAAGTCCCCTGGCTGCGATAACCTAAAACCAGTGGTTCTGAGAAACTGCGCCAATATGCTTACTAAACCACTTCGTAACCTTTTTGAGCACTCAATAGGCTCGTGCAAACTCCCTAAAGAATGAAAAAGTGCCATCTTGTCGACCATCTTCAAGGGAGGAAACAGAAAAAGCCCTGGCAGCTATGGGCCAATTGCTCTGCTCCCTATTGTGTCAAAAGTTTTGGAAAGCCTGATAGCTGACACTACCTGGGAATTCCCCAATACGGAAAACAGTGCATACTGCCCAGCGAGGATTTCGGGTTGGTCGCTCACGTGCCGCCAACATTCCCAACAGCCTGGGACGACTGGACACAAAGTTGGGACAACAGAAAACCGGTACATGTTGTATTTCTCGACCTAGCCAAAGTATTTGACAGTGTCCTGCCAGCGGTCCTACTTCTCAACATCATGTCGGCTTGTATAACTGAACCCCATATTCCCTTGGTTCGAGGAGTACCTGGAAGGGAGGCAGTTCTGCACCAACGTAAACAGGATAAGGTCGGAGTAGCAGGCATGTCCTGAAAGACTTGAACATCCAAATCCATTCACCTTGAGTCATCGTAGGAAGAGGGGCGACCTTGTTACGACCTACAAGGTCGCCCGGCAGGCAAACCAACGAAAAAAAATCACCCTCGTCTGCAACACAGCGGTCTTCATGAGGAAACCCCATTAAGATAGCACATCAGAGAGTCAGTGCCATACTCAGGTTCACTTTTTTCTCTTTGAGAGTTTGCGCTCCATGGAGTGCCCTACTGCGACACATTGTCATAGTCACCTCAGTCGACTCATTCAAGAGACGGTTAGATAGTTATGTCACGTCGCATGGTCTACCACGGACGTACTCAGGGAGTCACCAACCTCATTGGCCCATCCTCACCTCCCCCCTACCTACCACTCACTATCTCGCTCCTTAGTACACCCACATTATCTACCAATTATTTTGTAGGAAGTAGACCTACGCCATCTTTTTTACCATTCTGGCGATTCCCACATACTTTTCTCTCGCTCTTTTCCCTTCTTTTTTCCCCATTCTTTTCATTCTTTACCACCACCTAACCATTCTCATTCAGTAACCTACACAGATAGGAGTCATGACAGTCCCCTAACCATCCCAGTAACCCACAGCTTCCCAATCACTCTCAAATTGCAACCTACTAACCCACAAAACATCCACCTCACCGAAACTAAAAGCAAGAAGGCAGAGGGGATTTCCTCATCCACTGCAGAAGTGAACCGAACAACTGGAACCAAACCCAACGAACCAGATGCGAGAAATAAAAAACTTTCAGTTTTCTACGCCCGCACTGTCAACATTGGATATTGAATATAGGTTACTGAAATCGAATTTCTTAAGGTGTTATCGTGTGGGGGCATGCCATATTTACCTAACTACAAAAACTAGGTAATAGGTTGCACTGAAAATAAATTCAAGAGCTTTATCCGCTTCCTTTGCAAAAGTAGGTAGTTTCAGGGTCCTTCAATATTTTGGGTTTTGTTGTCTAAGTATTCAAATCGTGTTTGAATCGAAACCCTGTTGGCTCTGCTAACCACATTATTTGAGTGGAACCACCTTTGTATAGGAAACCGTCAAATTCAACCCGATAGTAAGTTGAAGTCAGATCTATCGGGCGAGTCAGACGACTAAAGTGAAGTGATGTCAAGAGGGACCAAAAAACGGAGGCCTGACAGTGCACTAGGGACTGGCAGTCACAATCCGATGCAACAGCACACCAGCCTCCAAACAAGTCCCCATTTCGCAATAGTCCCAGAATATACCTCCTTGACACGCTTCTACAGCAATGTAAATGGTCTTAGGAGTAAATTGCTGGAGCTAAAAACAATGTGCCATAATCTGCAAGCAGATATAATTCTTATAACGGACACATGGCTGTCATCAGATATCGTGAGTGAGGAAATATCTTTGCCTAATATGACCTTGTTCCGAAAGGATAGACAGTTCAAAGAAGGCGGAGCAAGTGACATGTATATTAACACTCACATAAAAGTCAAGGGAGCGACTGATGGTGTGTTTAGCTTACTACTAGACTCCTTATGGTGCTATTTCACCATAAACTATACTCAGTACCTAGTAGGAGTGGTATACAGACCTCCCGTTTGTACGACAGAGGATAAGGCACAATTTCTCAGTGCCATTTCAATAACCACCTCGGCAGCCTATGAACATGTAGTCCTAGCTAAAGACTTCAACACACCGGCATTCAGCCCGGGATATGAAGTAAGGTATGGGCATTAGTCTTCCGAACACAAACTTCGAAATACGTTTATGGCGGCAGGACTGATAAAGAAGGTCGGGGAAAACACTAGGTGGGAAAGGATCACCACTTGACTGCGTTCCAACAGACGATGATCTTTTGGCGGACGATACCTGTGCCTACCGCCCCCCCCCTTTCCTAGGTAAAAGCGATCATGCCTTGGTGAGATTCTCTCTGATAACCAAGGAGAAACTATCAATAGTTGAGCCAGAAGCTTCCCGCTGTTACTGAAAAGCAGACTACCATCTCATGAACAATGAACTTCTGGAGGCTGCTTGGTCATAAGGATGCCACTCACTATCGATAGACGAACGCTGGATACGTATTAAAGAAATTATCGAGGGGACTGTCCCGAAATTAACCACATGGCTACCTCTCAAACGGTCTTGGGTAACTCGTGCAACCCAAAGGCTCATACAGAAGAAAAAGAAGGCATGGTATCGGTGGCGTACATCACACAAGGAATCAGACTTTTTTAGACACAATGAGTTACGCAACTTATGTAGTATAAGAGTTCCTAATGATAGGTACACATACCAGAGCAACCTGGCTAAACAGTTAAGTTACAATCCGAAAAGTCTATATAGGTTTATGTCACAACGCAAACCAGCGAATAAGGACTTAAACCTGATCACGACCGGTCAGAGAATCCTCAAACAGCAGTAAGATAGCGGAACTGTTGAGCAGCCGATTTGGCGAGCAACTCAACCCAGTAATACATCCACTACCAACATCCAGTAATGTAACGAGGTCCCAGGACCTCAGTACAAAGCCGATGAGCGTAAATATTTCGTCAAACCAAGTGTTTGTGAAGTTTTTAACACTGAGAATAGGGAAATCACTGGGCTGTGACGACATAAAACCGGTGGTCCTACGTAACTATGCCGAAGTTCTAAGCATAACCATACGCAACCTATTCACGCACTCGTTGGAAGTAAGTCGGCCCCCTAGGAAGGAAAACGCACCATCCTTTCATGAATCTTCCTTTACCTCCAATCTTTATCTCCATACTTTTCAGGGTACTAGAAAGCCTGGTTGCAGATGTTGTTTGGAACTGCCTCAGTGGGAACAACATCGTCCATCCCACCCGATATGGCTTCAGAACTGGGTGGTCATGTGCCATAAAGTTGATGACTGCTTGGGATGACTGGACGACTAGATGGGACAACAAACAATTAGTCCACATTATCTTCTTGGACTTGGCCAAAGATCTCGATAGCATCACACACTCCACCATGCTAGTTAAACTTGAAAAAGTGGGTATCACTGAACCATTCTTGGCATGGTTTACTGCACACCTAGAGGACAGGGAATTCTGCACTAAAGTAAACAAAATTCGATCAACCCAGAGGAATGCAAAAACAGGAGCTTCTCAAGGAGCGATCCTTGGGCCACTCCTATTTTTACCATTCATAAATGACCTTCTCATTAAAATCTCGTCTATCCTGCTATTTGCCGACGACATCAAAAGATGGAGGGTGATAAGTGACGAAGGGAATCCTAGGATACTCCAGAACGATCCGTCGCAGCTGGAGTCCTGGTCAGTTGCAAACGGTGTAAGCCTTACGTTGGAGAAATGCAAGGTGATGTATCTCCGCACACGAGAAGCGATGAAAATCAGCTACACTTAACAAGTATGCAATCACCAAGGTATCCACAGAGAAGGACCTAGGACTAAACTTTTCTGACACACTGGACACTACTGGCAATTTAACTAGGGAGTGGTAGTAAAAGTCGAACACCACCATACACTTTCTAAGAAGGCAGCTTGAACTGTTACCCCCAGAATTACTCCCCATGGTATTTAAAACCTATGTTACACCACACCAAGAGGTGTTCAACACGATAGCCCCCCCCCTACTACCAAAGATAGACGCAAATAATCTCGAGAAGGTACAGAGAAGAGCGACAACGTCGGTTGTCGGACTAACAGGCAAAACATATGCTCAGTGCCTCGGACAACTCAGCTTGTTCACACTTAACTGTCGAAGGACACGAAGTGACCTGATAGCCTACAAGATCATTCACCAAGTGGACCACCCGAATAGTCAACGTTATCGGTCGAAAACCGACGGTTCCATGAGAACCCCAACCGCATGTCTCACCATAGGGAAAAGATGAGAGTCAGATCTTACTTCTTCTCCCACAGAGTATGTGCCTTATGGAACGCTTTGCCGAAGGGTGTAGCCTCAGCTACATGAGTCGACTCCTTCAAGCGACTACCGGATGAGTATGTGGGCGCAAATGGCTTACTACGAACATTTGTCAGTAGCAACTGATGATACGTCCCTACATGCCTGTACACCTCAACCCTCGTATCTGCAGTAAGATTCATCTCTACTCCATATTATTACCGGTAACACTTATGTTCCCATAAGTACTTTTCACTCCTCTTTTTCTCATTCCCTACTCACCCTATTTCTAGCACTTTTTAAATAACGCCTAATACTTACTTGCAGATGCTCACAAAAACAGGAATTGCAAACGGTTAACTGATCTTAGCAGCTTCGTTGCTCTCTCCCCAAAACAACCAAGCTACAATTTGCAAATTAAATACCTTCAAATAGACAATCGCTACCTCAAAAGCTACAAGCAGAAAACGCAAAGACTTCTGCGACCATTGAAGGAGTACAACCAAACAAAAAGAACTGAGTCCCAAGACCTAGAAGCGAGAGCTCAAAAACTACAAGTTTCCTCTACTCGCACTACTGATATTGGATGTTAGAAGTGAAAATGATGATAATAACGGTACTAATCTCAACTACTGACGGTTCCATTTTATATCAAAAGAAAGACATCCCTGGGATATCCACAATTGGATCGGATTGACTCATATCATATCAGAAACCCTAGGATCTATCATCATCTGCGGCCTGTCTGAAGCTTCTGGTTGACACATTCAAAAAAATAAAAGGAAATGTACAGTACATATGTTTAGCGCCAGAATACAATTAGGTCAGAAATAATGAATATTTAAAATAACTGAATATAAGCCAAAGAGTTTTCTGAGGTGTTAACAGACGCTTTTAGCTGTGTAATTTTTATTTTAACTAGTATCTACCCCCCCCCCCCCGATAAGCAACCACTGTTTTGCATGTCTTTCGATCTAATTAACAACTGCATACTTTAGATTCTATCCCTCTGAACGAAGAGCTGCCTTTAAGTTTAGAAGCTGTTTGAGTGTAATTGCATCTTGATATGGTTACTTAGCTCCACCTCTCGAGGTTGTTTCTCACGTTTTCTGTTTTTCAGATTGTGTTCATCTCTCATAGGGAATCAGCGTTTTTACTTTTGACAGATTATCAACAGTTGACTGAGAGTCCGTAGTTCAGTGATTTGTAGCCAGATAAGTCATAACGTTTTCGTCAAAATAATTTTTGACTGAAGATTAATAAATACACTATTCTTCTCAGGGTCTTACTAAGTTGTCTTGTTATTATTATTTTTTATTGTTAGTACTTACACGTGGGTAAGGTACCGGTTAGTTTGGTACCAATGTACATCTATTTATGCATTCAGTAATATCCACACAACCGTTCCTTTACAAGTGCATCAATCAGGTATTCAGCCTCTTGAGTACACTTGCCATCAATTGATAGCATATTTCTTAATCTGAAAGTTGAAATTCGATTCTTTTCATAGAGGTTTTGTAACAGCGTGTGATTGAAGCGATTACTCGGAAACTATGTAATGCATTTCGTGGCTATCCATTCGGGCTTGCACGGCCATTTAACAACTGAAATACTGTGAAATGTGGCAGCTTGAACCGATTCACTTGTGCGCGAGATTCTTCGTTGATTCCGTCTGTATGACTTAGCAGATTAAAATTAAGGTTTAGTGTTCATTGAAAATCTGATGATAGAATAATGAAGTATTCAAATAAGCAAAAAGTTAAGAAATTTAGTTAGCAGGGTAGTTGAAGTTTGACGATAGATTTGTCTTGAAAACGTAATTCTGGTTTTAGGTATTTGACCGCAATAGGGCTTAGTGATTGAGTTATTGAAGGAAGTCGCTGTTATCAATCATAGATTCTTCTGGACATGTTCGAAATATCAAAGTTAAGCTGTTTTTATTCTCGGCAGATATACGTGAATTGTTACACACAATCCGAGGTAACATATTAGGCGCACCCATTGGTTTTTTATGATATCAAGTACAAAAGAGGAGAATCAACTTCGCAGGGTTATGTATTTAACCGAAAGATTAGGTAGTCTTGTATTCACTATAATCATGGTATGATCACCGTTGACAGCAAAATGAATGAAAGCCATCCTTTTGTTAATTCTGCTTTGGAATTTTTAGATTATTCTCCTAAATATTTGTTATTGAAGTGTACCTTTTGTTTGATGCTTCTTGAGAAACAACAATAGTTTTCTAGGTTTATTTTGTTTATCATATTTTTCTCACCCTACAAAACTACATCATTACGATTGCTCGTTTATATTTAATTGGCAAGAAACTATTGAATTTGAGGTAAGGTTCATTCTGTGTATCTTGGCGATGAATAGATCTTTGAAGTATGCCATTAGTTCTACGTTAAATACTTACGTTCAGAAGATTTTTATCTAACCTTTTTTTCGTATTCCGTTGTGAAGTTAACAGTTTAATCTACAACACTGAAGATTCTAAGCAGATAGGATGCATTGTGTAAATATGTACATACAACTAACATATCTATGATAAGATGTAGTCTCATCAGTTGTACGTTTAAGTTTTGTCAACTAAAAATTAACCTTGAAACTGTCTGTCACTATATTGACAGACTTACTAGACAGGCTTACTGGATTTTTTATTGACATTAAGTCAACTTCACAGTTGTATTGTCGAACTGGAACTAGATATATTTCGCACAAAGGAGAATAAGCTTTTTGAATTCACTTGTTGGTAGTAAAGATCAAAGTGCTGACAGATAATATCCAATTTCATGAAGAGAAATCTGGGTAAACAGGCAAGTCATTCAAGACATTAATTTAGCTTACCGTCTAGAAAAATGAAGCGAATAATTCATAATGTATGCGGCCAACCGTTGACTATCGGGTCGCAGCTTTTCCGTTTGCCAGTGAAAAACTGTTGTACTGTGAATTTAACATTGATAGTGTCCGTTTTATTGAAACATTCTGTTTATGTATCTAACATAAGCCTTACGTCAAAGGTAAACAGGATTTTTTAAGCTGTAAATCATCCTGAATGAAATTATCACTTAACTTCTCTCTCTTCACGAGTTTTTGAAGTATTTTATTAATTTTCTTTCCCATTGATTCTGTCATACATTCATTCTTGTTGTCAGTTTTTAATTTCACCGGTCATCTTAGTAACAGAGTCATGCCTGTTCATTACCACATCACCTTTATCCGACTGTACTACATTATGAGAACGAAGAGAAAGACAGCTGATTGGTTAACATTTTTCATGTAAAATGAGGACTAAATATTCATCCTTAACGTTGATCAAGGGTAGCATCATTATTATTTTATCGGTCTATTATTAACCTTGATTAAAGATATTGTCGTTGGTACTTAGTTATACTGTAATTAACTTTCATCAAAGGTTGTGCTACTGATACTTTATTAGCCTATTATTAACTATTATCTGAGATAATTTTTCTATATTAAACTTGGCAGATATTAATCCAGTTAAACAATCACATGAACAGCTAGATTCTCAGCTAACCTTCCTCTTTTTCTTAAGCAATAAGTCTTGCCATACCAATCCTGTCCTCTATGTTTTTTAGTAGTGCGGAGACAGTATTTTCAATGATCACTATCCAGTGTCATGTTTCAATGTGTTATGGTTGTATACCAGTTCCTTATTCGTAATGCATCAGTTAGGAAAAATCCAGTATTATTCTGTCAAGTCACTTCTTAAGTGTTTTATTGCAGTGTGGTGTTCTTTCAACAAGATTCTAAACCGTAGGTATTGATTAACAATATCGAAAGCCTTGTGAAAGGTGATGAGAGTAAATTTAAATTATTTGTTTTTCCTGCTCTACTAGATGTTATTTCCATCTAGTAATTAAGTAAGCTGTCTTTCACGGTATTCAGACAGTCCGCTACTATCGATTCGACTTATTCATGTATCAAGTTATTGCTCATCTCATTTGCATTGTACTACGATGTAACGCACTACATTAACTGGCTTGATCTGCAAATTCAAACGTTTACTTAACAGTTTGACCTTGATTCCTTAGTCATTTATGTTACAATTCAAGTTCAACAATGAGACAAAAAGAAGTGACTCGACCACCTTTTTAAGCAATACTCTAAACCTACTCCTATTCTTGGCACAAACTGTGCTAAATTATTGTGTCAAGAAGCCCCGAAAATGATCTGTGTAAAGTCTTTTATTGAAACTAGAAGTAAGCTTCTGCACAAACACCTTGGTGCACAGTCTACTATCAGCTTTCTTTTTCATGATTAGTGTGGAAAATGAAATACCACTTAGCTGTTTGTCTCTGTAGATTCATATTTCTCCACCTCAGTTACTGCTAATTACTTCCATTATGTACAGTTCGATTTCTGAATCTTTTTGTACAATCCACTTCAGGATGATTTATTGTAGTTAGTGTCAATAAACATCCATTTTAAAGAATACGTGCGTCTAAAAGTCCACTTACGAAGCAGTTGTACTTCGACATTCTGTGTTGCTTTGTGCAAATACTAAAAACCCATTCATTATTAGCTAATGGTCATTTCTTTTGTTACTTTTCGTACAAAATGAATAAAATATCTGTTTTCTATTGCATTTAGCTTGGTAAACTCTCAGACCCATTGGCGGTTTTATAAACTCGATAGACAGTGTCTAATCACAGTCTTCTGCAAACCTAGATGATACCTTTTCTGTACGATAAAAATGTTTTTCTAACTCAACTCACTACAGATTCGTGCAGTAGTCTATGAGTAACATATAATGTGGAGGATTTATGGTACTTTTCAGTTCCCTTAGGTTGATGCAGGTGGAGCCTAGTTCGAATACAGGACCGATTATTTGAGAAATGAGTGTTAAAGTTGATGAACCACATCACCAATATGCTACCCGGTAATTTTCTCAGGATACGGACAGCATGGATGTTATCCGGGTAGAAAGTGTGTTTTACTTTGCCCAGTCAGCGCCACAGCAAAACAAAATATAGAATACTCACTCTTTAATAAAACTTGGTGAATTATTTATCTCTCATTTAGATGGAAATTTGCTTTGTCACTCAACATATCCTACTGTTTAGGAGACACCAAGTAAGCTTCACTTGTCAGTACAGATTCTTTTAAGAAAAGTAAACTTTCAAAGGTTAGAAAATTAACATAAGCTAGTTCAATATGTGTATAGGCATTTTTTTTATCGTATTTGTGAAATGACCATGATGGTGACTGGTCACTTTAACTTTGGCTGGCCTATGAATAAAACCGTTTACCTGAAAGCACTGGGCTACAATCATAGCTGTTTATGAAATCTAAACTGTTTTGACTTTTGCACCAATCACCATCAACGGTAAAAACCTAAAGGAAGTAGTTTCTTCCACCTACCTACCTAGATACCATCGTTTCAACTAAAGGCGGCACAGACGAGGATGTCAGAACCGTGATCGGAATAGCAAGACAGGCTTTCATTAATCTGAAATCAGCGTGGAGATCTACTGCACTCAGTACAAAGAACAAGATCCGGATTTTCAACACCAATGTCAAGTCGGTGCTGCTATATGGTTCAGAAACTCGGCGCATCACAAAAAGCACTTCCAACAAACTACAGATATACATCACATCAACAGCTGCCTATGCTCACTCGATACTGAAGATCAGATCAGATGGCCAGAATGATAAGAATAAGCAACAAGGAACTCTAGGAGCTAACCAACCAAGAACCTATCGCCCAACCAATATGCAGAAGAAAGTGGAGATGGATTGGATTGGACATACACTGAGAAGAGGGGTTGGGGACATCACGCGCCAGACCAGGCCGTCGAGTGGAATCCAAATGGGAAATGACTAGTTGGGCGTCCCAGCTGGTGACATGGAGGAGATGGTGTGAGGAAGAAATGAAAGCTTGTGGGCAGTGTTGGAGTCAGGTTGAAAAGACTGCGAAGAAGAGAGTACAATGGAGGTGTGCTACTGAAGCCCTATGTTTCACTCGGTACCCAAGGGAAAATAATAATAATAAATATATGTACCTATGGTTTAGGTATTATATAAAAATGCCTTTTATTCTAGGTTATTTAGTAACCAAATGCGTTCTGCCGTAATATATTAGTCTGAGGCATTTTAGTTGCTGGGGTCAATTAGCAGGAAGATGTATCTATAATCTTTATGAAACTGATGTCCCATCTGCTATTCGAATTCGTGTTACCTAGTTTTGGAGTCAGTGAGGTTACTTTTGAGTTGCCTGAAACGTGATTGATCTCTGCCAAAGCGCGGCACAATGGTGACCCTCCTACCTCGATGGCACATTGCAAAGTGATCGATAGAATTCGGCCAACATTTAGAACTAAAGGATGTGAAACTGGTTGCTGTCCAGTAACCAATCAGTGAATGATGTGAGACACCTTTACTGAAGCTAGAAAGCATACGAAAATCAAAGGTATTTAATCGTCATTACCTCTGAAGTATTTCTGGTACTTAGTTGAGCAGTCCAGTGATTTATATTCATCTTATTTGTAAATTAATAGGCAAATCGACTTCAAATATAAAATGTTTGTGATATGTCTGACCTACTGTTGAGCTCAGCTTGTAAAGTGCAGTGGTCTCTGGTGTAGAGCTTTCAGGAACTAGTCTTTTGGTAGAATCTGTCAGACTATAGGAGATGATATTCCAGAGATATCGTTTTAATGGTTCAAATGAATCTATGCGTTTTCCCTATCTTGACGTGAAAGTATTTTCATCCTGCAGGTTTCACTGTTTCCTACTTTATGTTTCATTAACTCTTTTTTACTATTACTGATATTATATTGCCATCACTAAGTGTTTCTTCTTGTTTATTTCTTTTTTATGCTAATGTGAAATCCTTAAACCGGTACGCAGATGTTTTAGGCTCCACATCAATGACGCCCATACACTTACTTTCCATAGGGTAGCAGTCTTTATTCTTGATTGAACCAAATGTTTTACCGGCGGTAATCATTACGAGGTGAGTAGATTAGTTATATACAGCAAAAAAATTTATTTATCCTGTCACCTATTTCCATTGTGCAAATAATTCCTTCTCTTATGTGTAAAGAGGCATTTAATTTTTACAGTTGCGAAGCTGGTGCCTATATCAGGAGAGTGATTATTGTGTCACGTGAAAGTTACCTAAGAAATGCTGAGAAATGTCACAGAGAGATTAGTACAGTTGATGAGATTCCAGACCACCGAAAATATGAGTTCCAGTACCACGAGAAAAAGTTGTTGATGCAATAAAAATGGAGCATATTTAGTTTACTCAAAAATCTTGTGAATCAGACCCCAGAGATGAGATTCCCACAGAACTTTGGTCAGTATATTGACAGTTTTACTAAGGCTGTTACATAGTTACTGGCATTGTCACATGATGCTAGGTTTCCTAATGATCGTAATATGGTTGGTTAACAAGTGCGATATGAGAATCTGAATTCACAGACAGAAGGACTGATACCGTCATCCAGTGAAGAGGGTGGAAGATTTATGACTACACTTGGTGACTCTCGCCACGACTATGCAAGCAGTGGGAACAGTACGAAAAGCGTCTTGTTAAAAAAGCATAGGGAAGCTCAAAATGAGTAACAACTTGGTTATAAAAAAGGCTTGTTAAGTGTTCCAGATTAGTTCTTGTGGCTTAAACAGATCGCATAGATAAGTTGAATACCCTACTTATTGACGAGAGAACATCTCAGAAATTAGCAGCTGGAAGTGATATGAAAGAGTAGGTAGGAAGATAACTAACACATTTGATGAAGGAAATGAAACCGTAGGGTTTGATTTCAGAAGATGTTTATGAGATGCTCAGAGCTACAAGAACTGTAACACCTAAACCTTTCAGTTTACCTCAGGTTTATAGAATTGGATAGCCTTTCAGATTAGTACTTAGTGTTTAATTCATAATGTCATATGATACTTCTTAAATCACTTCCCATCGAAGTTGTTCGGCGTCGTTTAAAGCACACCTTTGATTTAGTTGTAAATGTGAATACAAATAATAAACTTATGGTATCGTGTGACATCTCATCCCTACTTACCAATGTTTCCGGAATGAAAGCAGTAGACTTTATATGCGACGAACTGATATACATAGAGGAGATTCTATTTTTGCTGTGAAAGAACATATTTCGGCGTATGTTATGAATGAACGTTTTCTTTTCAGCAACCAGATTTGTAGCTAGTCCGAATATGTGGCCATGGCATCGTCATTGAGACTAATCCTGGCATACTTTTAATACGCCAAACTAAGAAATAGCCTGTCTTTATCTTTATTGGTAGTGAAATCTTCCATATCTCTGGTAGAGGTTTTGAATCATCACCACGCATCATAGCTGAGTAAAGGACAAATACTTGCCTATATGGTGGATACAAGAAACGTTTCCATAATTATTTATCACTCACAAAAAACGTTCCACATAATTTATATCTGCATCCACTGGACACTACCAAAGTTACCAAAGTAATTCTGTGTTCAAAAAAAGTTTTACAATTCCTCTAATTGATTTGGCCACCAAAGAAAAAATATTGTCAGCGAAATATGTCAACCTTCTATCAACCACACAGACTAATTAAAGGGAAAGGGTGTAATGTCCACCAGAAGTACCTTGGAAATTGGAGAAACGCAAGAAAAGCCTTCTCCCTTTTTCGATGCAGAATAAAGATGAATAAAACTATGAAAAGAAATGAAGGTGCCCGGTCAATTCAAAGTGTAACATGACTGAGTTGCTTCTTTCAGTTGCTTATCGTAGTTTAGTAAATAGAATTATCGCTTGTATTGTACCGTCGTTGGCCGGACACAATTGATCTGTCTCTGTTGGCATATGGGCTCCTGTGTGAGTGCTTCTATCTATCTTTACTATGATTAGAACACAGGTATATCGAGGCATCCGTACAGGAGCCCATATGTCAATAGAGGCAGATCAAATCTGTCTAATCAACCACAGTATACAATACAAGCAATTATACTAAAACTATACTCGTCAGGCAACAAGTGGCTATCGTGGCTCGGTGGTCTAGTGGAAAATGTTCTTACGTTTGGAGCGATCGCTAATCGATTCCGAACCCCGGTGAGGACAGCATCAATTACTGGGAGCTGGCAGGTGCATCCAACTGACGAGTCCCAAATAGGACGAAATGCACATCATAGACTCCACTGCTAGGCACTAACCATCATTAGTAATTTAGTAAAATTTGAAAGAGTAAAATATTTCTTGTGTTTAGACTTATCGTCAACGAAGAGAATATAGGCAGCAAAGCTGTTTCCATAATGAATGAGAGGAGAATGAGCGTATTCCTGGGGTGAGATGAAAGGCATGATCTAAACAAATATTCAAGAGAAGGGAGATATAGCATCACGAAAATAACCGGAAGGAGCACAGGACACTCATAAAGCAGGAAAGATATCAGTACTCTAATATGTTAAATGACGAATAAAATATGATAAAGGAAATGAACAATCAAAAATGAAGACAAGTAAACATCATGAGCTACACTACTTGATCTTAGTCAGTAGACATAAAGCTGATGGAGAATATTTGTAGCTCAGGTGGATAATTTTGATGGTATTGTGCTCTCTTAGGTGGACAATTTAATCATGGAGCTTTCGTTACCATTATCGACAAAATCATCGGCACAAAATTTGAAGGCATCTACAAGACATAAAACTGTATACATAAAAGGGTAAAGGAGTAAATTCAAAATAGAAGAAATTTCGAATTTTAGAAATGTGCGGCTAACAGTAATCAACTCAACTCGTTTGTAAATCATCTAGATATGGATTTTCAAGTTGATAGAAAAATGGTTATGACCAGTGAATAAGTGATGGATACAAGATAGAAGTGATGACCTTAAAGACTACACGACTACATACAATTGTTACTGAGACGAAAAGGTACAATGGACATCTAAAAGTATTTATTTTGATACTGTATGCTAGTTAAGCTGGAAAGTCATATTAACAACAATTTATGTAAGAATGTGAAGATTAGTGATTCACTATACATGTCTAGTGTTGAATAAATTGTTTTAAGTATTCACTGACTTAGTTCAAAGCATTTTCACTACAGCATTGTGTGTCAAACTTCCAAAGTATATTTTTCAAAGTACTGTTTGACAAAAGACTCATTAACTTTGTTCATCTATATTTATTGAAAACGAATCTCATCATTCTAATTTCTTAATAAAGCAAGAAGAAAGACATTGGTAGACTAAAATGAGTTCATTTCATTTCACCGCCTCTTATCACCTTCAGACATTTGAAATGAATCATTATTACCATTATTATTTTCCCCTTTGGTTCCTAGTGGAATATAGGGCTTCAGTAGCACGTCTCCATTGCACACTCTTCTCTGCAGTCGTGTCAACCTGGCACCACGAGTGCCCATAACCTTTCATTTCATCCTCACACCATCTCCTCCATTACACCCTCGAACACTCAACTCGTCGTTTCCCATCTGGGTTCCACTCAAGCATCTGGCCTTGATTAGCCATTCGAGACAGTCACTCGAGTGGTTGCATGTGGGAGAAGTGATCCAGATAGTTGTTTCACTTATACACAGTGAAATGCACAATTTTTGCTGCTGATAATTGTTCCCTTTATACAAGCACTCTGAATACTGTTCACAGTGCAAATATTTCACAGTCGTCTCCTGACAGTTAAAGGCATATCCATGGATAACCTGCTCAGGTGACATACAACTGACCGAAAGAAAAGAAAGAGTTATCTTATCCTATGAAGCATTACATCCTGCAGCGTGAAATAGATAAGGGGAAAAATACATGAAAATATTGCAATATGAATAGTGTGGTCCTGCGAAATACGAACCTATCCTATGATTGCTTTAGAGCAAAAGTTATAAAAGGATGGCATAGCAGGTTATCTGAGAAGTCAGTATAAGTGCTACATAGAATCCCAGGGAATAAAACTGAAAAGAAATGGAGATGCCTCTGTCGGCTAGTACACACTTAGTCATCGGAAGTATAACATCATACTTCATACTCATGAAACTGTCATCGAGAAAGATGAATATCCATGTGAGTAGAAAGTGACTCAAACTCTTCTTCACTAACCTCTTTCACCACCGACGTCATCTGAGAATAGTGTGAATTACTTTTACCACTCGAGGTGAAATAGAGGTGAAACAGATACTGCTTCTCTGTGAAAATGATGTTCACTCCACGTTCCATTGGGTATCTGTATTGTAAAAGTGATGGATGCATGAAAATGATGCCACAACTGACAACATTTTATCTGGTATATTTGTGCTTCGTCACCAGAAGCATGTCTGCATTGAACGACAGGTGGAATAACGTGTTCCCACAGCTTTGTCGATTAAAAATCTGTTATTTGCAGCGATGTGGTTTATGTGTCAAGACTGATTTCAGTTTCCAAGAAACCTGTCCTACCAATATATATTCAATGCAATATGAAGGGTAAAAGACATTTATCTTCTAGAATTTCGCCGCAGGATGTAGAAATCCACACACAATAGATAGAAGCATCAATAGGAGAACACACGAATAGACCGTTACTGGAAGCAAGGTAGTTATGACTGTGTCAGTCAAAACGAATTGTAGTCAGGACACCGTTTTGTGTTGTGAAAGTTAGGGTGGTAGTAGTACGAGGTGAGGTGAGAAATATTTCACATTGATACGATCTTCTTGGAGAACGAAGACGAAGGAGATTATTGCGAAGTGTGTGAAAAAATCAGATGAAAATATTCTGAGTAATCATTAGTGGAGAAGAGAGTGACTTATGTTCACATAGCAGTCATCGGAGATCAGATATCAGAATGTGTCACTCACACCATCTGTATGCAGTGGTGAAGCTCTAGCAATGCAGAGGTGGAAGTCACAATTGACGGTATACCTACCTGTTTTCCATTCACTTCCCTCACACCTGAGACTAAATCTCTCGTGTCCATGTCCTCCTTTCAATGTAACATAAACTCAACTTTATACTATTTACAATTC